TCCATATGGCACGGGAAAGTTTCCTACAATGAGGGAAGGAACAAAGCTGCTCTGCCAGGAAACCTTCAGCAGAGGATTACTGAGTACCTCCAGGAAACTTTCTTGGAGATCTCTCTGGAGGATTCCTGTGAGATCTCGGCACGCATCAATACCCTGTTCTGCTGTATTGATTAGCTACACAGGGAAATGTCCAGCTCACAGAAACACAGCCAGCCTCCCACATTTCTTTGCCCTGAACCCACCTCCGCACTACACAAGCCACAGACACTTTCCAGGAGTCTCATCTCCTGCTTCTTGCTCACTGCTGAGAGCAACTGCTGAGACTGACTAGGTACCTCTGGAGTGGAGAACAATTCCTGGCTGCCTGCTCCACCAGGCAACTCCGCCGGGAGCTGCACATCCTCATCTAACTCCACCTCTTCATCAATAACTTCGTCCTCTGGGTTAGGTCCTCTTTCCGCCATCTCCGTGCCCTCCAAAGTATCCACGGGGCTCTTGGCGATGGAGGTGAGGTCACTACTGAGGATAGCATCCAGCTCCTTATAGAACCTGCAGGTCTTAGGTGAAGCAGCGGAGCAACGGTTTGCCTCCCTCACCTTATGGTACGCCTGCCTCAGCTCCTTAATCTTCGCTTTGCACTGCAGCGTGTCCCGATCATAGCCTTTTTCGCACAAGCCTCGATAAATCTGCCAGTAGGTATCCCAGTTCCTATGACTCAAGCGCAGCTGGGACTGCACAGCCTCCTGTCCCCATATACTGAGCAGATCCAACAGCTCCGTTGTGGTCCAAGCGGGAGAGCGTTTGCTGCAATAACCTGCCATGGTCACTGGGGAAGATGCAATGAGACCTCTCCATGCCGAGCCAACAGGAAATGGAATTTCAAAAATCCCCAGGGCTTCTTTGAGGGAGGGATATCTCAGTGGTTTGAGCATTGGCCTGCTAAACCCAGGGTTGAGTTCAATCCTTGAGGAGGCCATTTAGGGATCTGGGGCAAAAATCTGTCTAGGGATTGGTCTTGCTTTGAGCAGGGAGTTGGACTAGATGACCTCCTGAGATCCCTTCCAACCCTGATATTCTATGATGGTTAGTTACCTGGCTGTAGGGCAGTGAGTTCAAACTGCTGACCAAAGCAATCAGGATGGGCATTGTGGGACACCTCCTGGAGGCCCATTAAAGCAATGAAATGAAGCATGGTGTCTACACTTGCACTTTGTCAAAAAAAAATGTAGGGGAAAAAGACATAAATCTATTGTGAGTATGGATGTATTTTGTCACCAAAAACTGGGCATTTTCCCTCGCAAAAGTTGCCTTGCAGTTTGTACGCACTAACTGTTTGGGTTGACAAATGGCAGTTTTGGTGACAAAACTTGGTAGTGTAGACAAGGCCTTCATGTGATGTTCCTTAAATCGAGGCACATTTGAGAGGTACATTAGTATTACACAAGCTGTATTCTTCCTCAAATGCATGCCTAAGCATCCTCATTCTACCTCTTCAGAGTTCAGTGTGATGCAGCCTAGGCCAGCCCTTGTAGCTCCCTGTCTTCATTTTCTAAGGGGGGATAAGCATCTTTACAGTCAACTTAAAGGGCTTGTTTAGTGTAACAAGGCTCCCTGTCCCAATTAGCAGAATCAGCTAGGAGCCTCAACTGCCTTCTCAAAGCCTCAGACAAACTGGAAAAGACAGCATTCCTTATTCTATCCACATTGCAATACAGTTGTCCTGCTCCCAGGGACTCTGCAAAGCCTGACAGGAATCCAGATGAGGATTCACTACAGCTCTTTTAAGTTTCCTAGGGCAGCCAGTAGGTACCTTTTGAAAGCATGATGGGTGTTTATTTTGATCTAGAAATCAAGACCAGTGTTTCTGATCCAAGACAGTTTACCTGTTGTGTCTCAAAAGGACTTGTACACATCCCTCCACAGAAGGGAATGCCCCTCTCAGGGGTGGGGGGAGGGGGAAAGTACGCCTCATTGTCTGGCATGTGTGACACCCATGAAAAGGTTACACTGCTGGAAACAGTGTCTGGCCATCAGGGTAGATGAGTTGTTCTCCTGATGTAATGTTTCTAACTGATTATACTGCCTGGGGAGCTACAATGGGCAGAGTTTCCAGGTATTCAAATATTGGAATTTTCCTTGTACGGCTTTAATTAAGTTCAGTTGGTCTAATCTCATTAAAATCTGGTTTTCTCTCTTACCTCTGGACTGGCATGTACTACTACTCTAGCCACAATACATTGCAAAGCAGGCAGCTCAAACCTAAGGAAAAGGTTGTACTACTGTTAGGATTTCCTGAAGTTCCTTTTTGCTACCTTGTTGAGATTCCTATTCCACTGTGGAATAGTAACAAGGTGGCTTTGGTGATGGAGAAGACTCAGACTGGCGTGTTTCTGAGGGAAGGGGAACTACTCAGGCCTGGTCTACACTTAAAAGCTAGGTTGACATAGGTACAGCACTCAGGGTGTGAAAATTTCACATCCCTGAGCGCTGTGGTTATACCGGCCTAGCCCCTGGTGTAGACAAGACTAGGTTGATGAAAGGATTCTTCCACTGCCCTAGTGACCATCACTCGGGAAGGTGGATTACCTACGGCTACGGAAAAACCCCTTGGTAACAGGGTGTGCTGAGTCAGGAGCTAACTTAGCACTCTGTCACTCCAGTCTCCACCAGTATATATTAATGGGGACTTTACTGGAAGGCGGATAGTTGACTGAGGGTGCCACTTCACTGAGGAGAGCTACAGCTGAGGGTCTGATTGAGGGGGAAGCAACTCCAACTCCTAGGATAAGATAAGCAGACCGAAAGGCAGTGCTGGGGAAGAGGAGGGAGCTGAAGGAAGGCAGAGATAGGCAAGACTGGCTGCTGCTAGTACTAGTCCCTGCCCTAGAAGCAAGTAGGGAAGCTGACTCTGGACAGTAAATGTATGTAAATAACACTGCAGGCTGTGGCCTGCTGGAAAAACACAGTACTGTACAATATGGTGGTGGCAAAGGAGATCTAGAGTGGTTTTGGTTTGTGTTTAAAGCTTGAATGGTCTCTCAGTGGATTGCCCCGTGACACCCTCCTGTCACTGTAGGAAGCATCTACACTACAGAGCTGCTGTAGCTGTACCACTGTAGCACCTCTAGTGTAGACGTGATCTTAGGCCTCATCATTGCCCTCAAACTCCATAAACTACCCTAATTGGTGAGTGATGGCCTGATGCCCACACGTCCTTAAGTATGTTTTACAGTTCCTCCTGGCTTCACTGATTTGCCCTGTGAAAAAGCTAATAAAAGCAAAATCCCCCAGCATCATTGCCACACAGGGAATGGCAGGAGCAATTGTCACAGTTTTCTGAGCTGCTTAGTGAAAGGAATCAAACAAAACAGCCACTCCAACCTCTCCTTCCTTCTGCTGCTCTTTTTCTAGCACTAATTCTCCAGAAGCTCCACTACTATGTTCATTGTTCTAATGGTATTTTTGTGATTCCTTCTTAGCTTTGATCCAGCGCCTTTCCCCAGAATTAAATGCATACTTTAAAAAACGGCCCCTTATTTTATATATTCATTTTCCAAGGAGGCAGTATGTTACCAGAGCTACTGGGGCTGGAAAAGGGATTGAGGGGAAATGCAACCAAAAATGGAGGCAATGGTACTAGGTTTGGAGGTACTGGTCAGGCTTCAAGGAGATAGATGGGTAAAATATTTGCTTTTCAAAGGTGAATGTTGGGCTAAATTTATATAATATAATTTTAAAAATGAATTTTCTTAAGATCCTGGATGGAACTAAAATGACCTGCTGACAAAGTCTTATTCAGTGGTTCTCAAACTGTGATTTGTGGATCAGTCTGGGCTACAGATCCTTTCCTGTTAACTATTCTTAAACCCATGTAGTAAGGGTATGGTCCATGAGAAGATCAGGCAGTGATGTTTAGAAATTTGGGAGGAGTGGTGACTCCATGAGGAAGTCACTGAGGTAGGAATTTGTCCCCAAAATGAAAATGTAGAACATTACTGATTCCTACATAATTTGGGTATTTACAAGTAATTTTGGCAGCAAAAGAGCTACTCAAGGGATATGGTTCTATTCACTTCTCTGATGCTTAGTACCAATGCCCTGGGTTTCCTACACTTATCTCTAAACTTTAAAGTAGTTCCACATGCTACTGTTGTTCAGTAAAAATGTATTTGGATTCATGGCCTAAGGAAGAAAGGGTCTGTGTCACAAAAATAATCCCCTGAGCCATCCCATGCCATCATGTCAGATTTTGTGTGGTTATTAGCAAAACAAAACAAAACATGGCAGTACACATGCCATGCCTGTGGTCTGTGTAGGACCCACAAGATACTGGGATTTGTTCTTGGTGGTTTCTTTTTCCTATTTCAGTAGTTTATTTTAAGGAAGAAAGGAGGGGCTAAGAGTTACAATAAGAAAAGAACTTCAAGGTGCTGTGGCATAAATCTACTTTGTAGATTAATCAACCTGACTGCATCAATGTTACAGAAAGTGGGGAGCAGACAGAATAGTTCCTCACAATCATCCATTCACCTGGTTACGGCCAACCATCCTTAATGAAGCTCAGGGCAATGTCAGTCCAAATCTTTTGGCATTACAGAGTGAAAATGGCATTAACTGTGTTCTGAGAGCTACCCGCAGGACTGGCTTTCTGATCTATGAGCCCCAAATAAGAACAAGGTCTCAAAATGCCGAGGGGGGAGAGAGAGGACAGGAGTAGTTTTCCCCACCTTCCCCAAACCTGCTGATTGAGGGACAGGTTGGGTTGGCCAGTCAATTGGGAGTTTGCCTACGGCACTCCAAGAAGAAGCTTACATTGTTTGAGTTTAAGGCTGGCTGTGACCTCAAAAGATAGCCCCTGTAATCAAACAGGAATCTTCTGAGCACTGAGGAATCCAGGCCATTGACTGACTGGGGAGGAGGAGGTGGTCGTCTTCATAGCAGCCTCATGATACACATGCCTTGGTGTTGGTAACCATGTTCCTTTTCTGTTTGCTCTGCAGATCCTGTGTGGGAAGGAGATCCCCCGTTGGGTGAATCGCCTAGCTTACTTCAGCTCGTGCATCCCTTTTCTCCAAAGTTGCCTCCCCAAGGAGTGGCTGACCCCAGCAGCCTTGCAGAGCCACATCAACCTCGGCCTCCACAAGGAAGAGCAGGAAGACACGACAGATGAGGAGTCCCCATCCACTTCTGCGGCTGCCTCAGCCTCAGGCACCTCGCGAACCTGTAGGCATACCCGCGTCTAAGCTGTGCCCAACATGCTCCCTTCTCTCGCTATCTGGGTTTCTTCTATTTCTTTCTAATTTCCTCTCTTACAGCACCTTTCTTTCGCCTTCTTTTCTTCACCCAAGAACATTGGGGGAAACCCACTTTAATGAGAAGACAAGCTCTTGATCCTTCTCGAAGGGTTGTCACTACTGTTGCTTGGCAAAATGATGCTGAACTATAGCATTGTGCTGACGAGTGTGGTGGCTAACCTGGATTCTTCTCCCAAGGCCCCCTGTGCTCCTTGATCCACAGAGAACTGTTGACTTTTGGGGCACGAGAGCATGGGACTGGAGGGGAATCATACTGTGAAGTTCCTTGACTGGAACTGTTTTTATTCTTTTATCTTCCCCTCTCTCTCTCCTCTCCAGTTCTGTCAAGACTGCCCCCCTGGACGTACCAAATGAAGGAAGCAGAACCTCAGCTTGACTTTTGCATCTCTAAGACCAGCAACAAGCTCCTACCAATCTTCTTTTTTGTAATTACCAGGTTTCTAAATCATTCGAAGGACAAGTGAAAGGTACTGCTGTTCTACGACCACCAGTTTTCTGTGTTAGAATTTAAGAGATCAGAGGACTGCCTTCCCCCCAACAATACCAAATTTACCTAGAAAACAAATGTGTAATGGTGATTTTTATTTGGTTACAACAGGGGGTGGGGGCTAATGCTTGGGGGTAGCTACTAAGTAGATGCAGGGGTGTTCTCTGGTGGATTGGTTCTCTTACTTCCCCTACCCAAGTCACCAGTTTCACATCCCTGGTTTGCTGTTTCCCTTCCTTTTCAGTGGGGTGTTAAATCTGTCTTCTGGCTGACTAGCCAGCTGCCTCTGGCAACCTGTGTTTTGGGGAGGGACTTTTGGAGTGAGAGGGTGGTGAGAGGGAATCCCTTGGGCAAATTGCTATTTCCTGCAGTCTTTCTTCCCAGAACCACAGAACCCAACATATGGGTCCCTTGGCAGCCATCTACCCAGTCTAAATTTAAAGCCAAGCCAGGAAGGCGAAAACTATCTAGACAGAGAATAAACCAGAAGAATTGACATTTGTTCCCCTGCCTCAGAGGCTGTTTTGGGATGGAGAGGGCAGCTTGGAATCCTGTCAGGAAGCAGAGGATGCTGCACCATGTACATCCCCATGGCATCTTCTGTTACATAACAATCTCTTTATTTCAGTCATTTGGGATAGAAAAGGGGCAAGGCTGGTTGACCAACCAGCCCAGCATTAAGAACAGGAGTACTTGTGGCACTTTAGAGACTAACAAATTTATCTAAGCATAAGCTTTAGATGTATTATGCCCATGATGATGGTTTCTGTGGTGGAGGGAAGGTGGAGAAGGGAGCAGGTACGCCAATTCCATTATTCAATCACCTAACCAGGAATTAAGTTCAGCGGCTACACCAGCATGGAAAAGGAAAATCTAGGTCCCTCTTCCCCCACCAGCTATGCAGAAGAGGAAGACAAAAGAGTCTAAGGATTCATGTGTAATGTATTGACTTAGGGCCTGATTCTTGGAAGTGCTGCGCACCAGCAGCTCCAGCTGAAGGCAGGAGGAGCTCTGGGTGCTCAGTGCCTGTGAAAATCAGGCTGTTAATGTGGATAATCCTGTCTCCTGCTGGTGGTCAGCCACAGTGAGAATAACAGCATGCTAATTACAACCAGCTACGCAAGCTACTCCATTAGCTCAAGTTTATAGAAATTGTGGGCTTGATATTGAAAGTCCTGGGTTTGATCCCCACTGATATGCCTAATGTCTGTACATACGTGGCCTCAGTTTGTTACGTGTATGTATCTATATGCCCAGATCGATTAAGGAATAATGAGAACCCTGTGAAGAGGTTGGGACAACTGCTGCATTCTTGGCAAGGTAGCAGACTCTAAGGGCTTTTGATGGCCAGAAATTCAATCCTTACGGTATGGTCTAACCTCATCCCCCTACAATGATGCACATGTGTACAATGAAACCTTTACAACATGCTTCTAATGTTTCATAATCTCTACAATGAATATTAAAAAGCTGTAGTTCCTAGTATCCCTGCCCAAATCCAAAGTCACATTCTCTGTTAACCTTGACTACCCCGGCTGGTACCCACAATCAGTACCGCGTTGTCAATTATTCCACTGCTCTTGGCATAGCTACCCAGAACCAGCACCACACTCTATTATCCTGGGTTCCTGGTGTAGTTGCATAGAGCCAGCATCACATTCTCTATTACCCTGGTTTGTTCCGCGATGATTTACTAGGATCAGCATCATATTCTCCATTCAGGGCCGGCTCCAGGCACCAGCGCAGGAAACAGGTGCTTGGGGCGGCCAATGGGAAAGAACGAAGCGGCGTGGTAGAGCTGCTGCCGAAGTGCCGCCGATCGCGGCTTTTTTTTTTTTTCCCCTTTGCTGCTCGGGGCAGCAAAAAAGCTGGAGCCGGCCCTGTCTCCATTATTCTGAAGTTGCCAGAGCTGCTGCCGCCCAGACACAACATTACACAATACAGTACTGCACAGTCAGTTGCCCTGCAGTGACTCATGTTACTGCCTAAACCAGCCATGCAATCTCCATTTTTTTGAAGTTCCCAGGGTCGCTGCCAAAACCAGCATTGTGACCGCAGGTATGTGCAGTGACTGGAAGGAACTGAGTGGAGATCTCCCGGAGCTTTCATTTGGTGAGGGAACATTGCAGTCAGATTAAGAGGTAATAGCAAATAGTCCCTGATCAACTGCCATCCATCCATCACCCCAACCTGCCATCTTGCATCTGATCTCCTATGAAGCATCACATTGGAAGTCCCAGATGGAATCAGGGCTCCAGTGACATACCTTTCCTAAGGAAAATGCTTTCTCAAAATATTTTACTAAACCACATACATAACTAGCTTTATTTTAATCCAGGCAAGCTGCATTCTTCCTCCATTCAAGCCTTTGGGGAGAGGAGACATTCTTGAGGTTGCAGGACACTCCTTTGGTGCAAGCTGTTAGCACTATAAAAAGATAATTTTTTTTTTTGCAATGGGGACAAGGCGGTGAAAGAGAATCAAACCATCAATGTGGCTAATTCATAGTTCAGAATGTGTTCTAGTCCTCAAAACTGCTGCTTACCTCCCCGCCCTGGCCAAGCTACCTGACCAACGGTGACCAGAATAAAGAAAAGCGACACTGTGGAAATAAAAAGTATAATAACAATATTGTTACCTGTGTAATTAACCACATTTTTAATGATTAAAATGGAGTTTTTAAAATCTAATGTATTGGTCCCCACTGGTGCAGTTTGTTTATTTTGGGCACTTTGCTTACCCTTCAGAGAGTGAAATTAGACTGGTTGATTTCACTTTCTGGTTCTAGTCACTTTTACTTCCTATTTCTCCTGTACTGCTCAGTGCTGTCCTTTGGGCTCCTAACACTGCCAGGGAAGTTTCAAATACAAACATTTTCCACTGGAAAAAATATATGTTTGTGTACATTTGGAAAATATTTTTATTCATAATGTTTTGTTGCTCCCAACCTCTTTTTTCACTTAATTACAAAACCTAAAGTTGGGGCCAAAAATACTTGACAATGTCCTTTTAAAAGGAGACTCAGAGGAGCCATCTTGGCACCTTGAGA